TTTTATTTTATATTTTTAAGATATTCTTATTCTAAAATAGAAATAAATAGCTTGTGCTTTTACAGTAAAAAAACAACATATTTATGGTAACAGTTATTTATATAGTATAACCACAAGACTATATTATGTGTGTATAATTAACTTTATGGAATTTATTTGGTATTTCTCTATTTAAGCGGAAAATTTATAACAAGCATATATATTTTCTCATGAGAAATAACCGTCAATGATAAAATTTGAATAAAGCCCTTCTCTTTAGCGGTAAACTACAAAGGATATTGCGCTCAGTAACACGATCTGAGCAAACTAATCCTCCTGATTGTTTATACCGTGCTAGGGCTATTGTTCAGATTATAGGGTCTTCAAGCCTAATTTGCATGGCCTTCAATTGGTCAGTTGAAAATTTCCCCCACCCATGTTTTTTCTATTGGTATACCATATACGTTTGGCTTAATATCTTAAAAACAACAAATTGTAAGAGGTATATATAATATATATGTATGGGCATAGGCCCATTTCTTATAGCGGTAGCAGCATTAACATATTAACATATTCAACATGTTAATAATAATAATAGCTTATCATCGCTATTTTCATCATTGTCACTATATTTATGTTCATTATTATTTCCACACTCAAAGGCAAGTCAATTAAATCAAATACAAAAAAAATCTGCTTAATTTATAAAACTACAAGAATTTTTATTTATGATGTTCTGACTTCACAAAAAAATGTAAAAAAATATACACACTAACTAAAAACAGTACATACTCCTGTCTCTTATACACATCTATTTTTATTATTATTTTTTTTTTACTTTTTACACCTTTTTACATTTACAAGCTCTTTCTGAGTTTTTTTGGTTGTCCTTTTCATCATTGCATTTTTATATTTATGCTATTTGTCTTTTTTATTGTTGATGAATAAATGAAATGAAATAGCACAGTGTAACTGTACTTTAACGTTATTATTTTGTCACAATATTTATTCGAATAAACACCCCGCTTTGAATAAACTCCCCCTCCAATAAACGCCCCTCTAGAGCCTTATTTGGAATGTACACCTTCCTCAAATATTAGTCCCAAGTCTTTTATTTCCTCGAATAGCGCCCCCTAAATGAGAGACACAAATCGCACAAAATTAATGGAAGCAACGTATTCGACTGGTCGTTCTTCTTTAAACCACGCCCACCTGCGCAGTGGTAAAATCCTTAACGAATCGGAAGATGACCAGTCGAATAGAAAACTGGTAATTAATACTCGACAAAACAAAATGGCTGCATAGTTACCTCGATACACGCTGCGTAATCAGGGCTGCTTCGGATTGTGGCAGTATGGTTTTTCGTTAAAAAAAAATGTTTTCATCCAGTTCTTGAATTCTCAGTTTAGCCTACAATTATTTTTTGACTTCAATGTAGGTAAATATTATAATTTTTACTTTCTGAAATTAAATCTAAATTATATTAACGCAAATGTTGTTGCTAAACTGACCAATCGGCCATATTTTTTTTGGTCACGTGCATAACAACGCTGAGTAACGTATTCTGGTTACGTTAATTTTCGTTGTCAACGAAGTCTATTTTACGAACCAGTCGAATGAAGATAATACGCAACGAAAATTCGTACTCAATGAAATGAACCAGTCGATTTCCACTTGAAGACTTGAAGGTAAATTCTGTATCCCGAAGCGTGCAGCATAAATGGGCGGTGCCCGAAAAGGCAGTAAGAAAAAAAGTTATAGTCGTTGTTTAGTGAGAGACCCATTTGCAGCCAAATTTCAAATAATTTACCATGTCAGAAACCAATAATAGGATAACAATTTCAACAGTTTCCTATCTTTGTGAAAAACGTGTGAAGGTCTGAAATCCATACAGTGTATCTAGTAGATTCAATGGAGTAGTCCCGGGCCACCAGTCCAAAAAAACTATTTAATACGACGTGTTCAATTCACGAATGCCTTAAGTTGACTCACTTGACAACACTTTTATATTAGTATAAATTCCCCACCCAAAATGTCCACAGCCACTTCAAACGGACGTTTAATTAAATACTCATAAAAAATTAAAGTAAACGGCTACTAGAATTCACAGAGATATAGCACACACTACGGTATTGCTTGATATTCCACTTTGACGGGGACCTCGTAATTGTCTAATAAAATACTAACACTTTGTCCAGGGGCGGATCCAGAGATTTTCTGACCGGGGGACAATATAAAGTTCACGCCGCCACGCCCACCACCTCAGTCCCACCAATAAGTGGTAAATAATCGAGCTCTCCTTTCGCACACTGCTGTATCGTCACTGAACTCATTAGCTCTTCCTCTCTTTAACTCAAATTTGTTACCCTCTTTGGCGGCTCTAGGATATATTTTCGGGGGGGGGGGGGCTTTGTTTTTTTTT